GAACGAAAATGAAAATTTGCTTGATAATTCAACTACGCTTGTTGGAGAACAATAAAAACACTACACTCAACAAGCCACCAATAAAACTCAACTGCCTAACCTATAACCAAAGTCTCCTTTTAATTTGTTTTTAAAAAAAAGCGCTTGACAAACTTGCCCCGTATGCCGAAGTTGCCCCGGTCTCCCCTATATATTACATATTTTTTGCATTTCACATTTATTAAATTGTGTACTCTTATGTTATGTAAGTTATTTACTTTCAGAAAAGTACAAAAGTCGTTCAACCATCAACAAGTTTTCAAAGACCACAGTCAATAGAATTTGAAGAAATTTTATCAAACCAGAATATCTTTACTTTAAAAGACTGCGAAGAATTCCTTGAAAACCTTAAGGTCAATTTAGGAATTATCCAACAAAAATTACCTAATTCAGTATATTAATTATCTGATATTACATCATTTTATGCAGTCCACATATTAGAAAATGGTGAAACGTTATCTTATTTATATTATTTACTTTCAGATTAGAACACAAGACGTTCAACGAGAACAGAAAGAATCGTTTGAACAACCATCAACAAGTTTTCAAAGACCACAGTCAATTGAATTTGAAGAAATTTTATCAGAACAGAACCTTTTTACTTTAAAAGACTGTGAAGAATTCCTTGAAACCGTTAATGTCAATTTAGGAATTATCCAACAAGAAAGTTCCTCACAAGTGACGTTCTTCCCAGAAATGGACGTTGAAGAAATTAAATTGAAGTGTCCGTTCTGTGGTGAACAATTTTTTGACGACGTTTCGCTTAAAGAACACGAAAGAAATGTTCATCCGTGTAACTAATTAATTGTAGACAACTAATTTTCAAATTATATTAAAATCATAAGGTACCAAAGGTGCTAATGTAGATAAATGTGATTTAATCAAATGCGAAAAGAAAAAATTAAAAAGAAATTGCACCTTACAATGACACGATGTTTATCATATTTGAATAAGTAGTAAAAATTACTAAAGTTGTATATTTTATCTGAAAAAATTTCTGGTGTTTTCCTACATATAATTTTAATACTAACCCGAAGCAGATTATTCGTAGTTTTCTTATATTCGTAATCTTGTACTAATATTAATAAAACAAAATTACATTTTTGAATCATTTACAGTATTATTATTTGTTTACGTTCATAACAAACTTTATTACAACAAAAGAAGACGGAAATTTTCATAATATTTATGAAACTTGTAAACAATTATTTGAAAATCTTCAGGAAAAAAAAAACGTTTAAGCAGTGATATACACACAATTATCTATCAAACTTATAACAACAAACAAATAACTGTCAAACAAATAAAAAACTCATGAATTAAATTAATTAAACTATAGTAAATTATAAATGTACTGATTTATTGACATTGTGTTAAACCTGGACGAATGGCTGAAACACTCTTTTTCAATAACTGACTATAGTATTGAGAAAGTCGAAAGAAAAATCAACCAACATGGTGGTATTGTTTTATATATTAAAAGCAGATGAGTCCGGCGTTGCTCGAGCAAAAATAACAACAAAGCTTTTTATTTTGTACTTCTAATTTTTCTATTATATCATATTATAGTATTTGATATATATTTACAAAAGTTATCTTACATAAGAGTTTATAATATTCGCAATGTAAGAGAGAATTATTATCTTTCGGAAATAATATCGATAACCGATCCGGCCCGTCTAATGAATATATGTGGCTCGCGATCACTCTTTCAATATTAGCCACTGAAGTCCGAATAGCTCGATGAAAAATTCTGACGCCTAAAAAAAGGGTCAACAACTCACTGTGCGTTTAGAGTTAACCCTCCATTACAAATCTCGTAAGTACAGCGTAGAATGTTGATAAAGCATGATAATGTGAAAAATTTATCTGCAATCTCTGCAATTTAGTCTCTACGGGGTGACACCACAATGAGATCTCGCACCACCTCAAAATCTTCCTAGGACAGCCTGTGGTTCGGCTCGTGGAAAAAGTTTTCTTTCCAATTTGGCCCGGGGGCAAAAACTGTTGGCCACCCCTGGAATAGAAGATGACTCAATTTTCCAGGAGGTTCCATTGTAAAATGACAGCGCTCTTCACAATGAACCTGATTTTCCAATTTACCTACAACATATACATCACTAGTTTCACCTAAAATGCACACAACATAACTGAAACAAATAAAGATGTAATTACACATTAAAAACATTTTGCAACAAAAAGACTCTACAGATCTGATATGTGTTAATAATACCACCATTGGAAACCTAATTACATACATTATCAAAAGTATTGCAACACTTAAATCACAGGTTCTCAAACTTATTTCGACCACCGCTCACTTTGAGATAAAAAAAAATATAGTGCATCATATTTTTTAGTTTACGTTTTTTCATTATTATCGGTTGCATATTTTTTAAAACACTTATTGCAAATACTGTATTTTAATTTTCTGCTGCATAAGCAGTAAGATGCGGTTTTCATAATACTCAGCATGTGTGTGCAAATGTACATGAATGAAATAGCTTACAATTATAGGCATTTTAGAGTTCCAAAATAAAGAATATATTTCAAATAATACGCTGTCTTTTTATTTCTATATGTTTAAAATAATAATATTATTATTATTTATCTACCACACTGTGGTCATATGCGTTTTTCAAGTTTTTAAGAAAAAAATACATCTTAAGAAACATAAAACAACAATAAAACAATAACAAACAAAATAATTAACTACATATAATTTTACCAAGAAAGACATTATTTAAAATATATATATATAAATATATATTATAGTAACTAAATTAATGCGACAACAATATAGCGCGAAATAGATGAATCATTACAGTATTAATGTGACAGGTAGCACATAACACTTGCCTGTGTGCAGTGTAGTAATGTTTTGCCCCTAAACACTATACTTTTCCTATTGCCAAGTGCTAGTTATGTATCTGACTTCGTTTAGAAACTTCAGAAGAAATTTTTAAATTGAAATAACCTGACTTGCGTACAAATCGGAGGTTCATATATAGAAAGTATAGTATTATGGTTTAAAAACCTAACATAAATTTTATTTTAAAATTGTATCCTTTTTTTGAAAAATTTGTTTAGTTTATTATTTTGTTAAATATTCTCTCTAATAGATAACGCCACATGCAAATCAGTGAATTGAATGTAGGCTATATTAATTAAACTCTGTGAAACGCCAGGTTCGGGGATTACTCACGAAGGGATACGTACTTTTGAATTTAAAACCCAGCATAGCCACTGTTTAGAACGTGAAAAGCTGACCAGTATTCACCTACAAACATCCTAAGTTGTAAACAATGTCTCTCTGTTCCACGCGCTTGTAGAATAGACTTTTCCATTTATGATATACACTTATTAACTTAATCTAACTTTTACGAAATAAATTGTTATTACGACACTGGAAAGCGTTATTTCCGGCGCGCTGTCTCTCGACTTCTTCATCCATTTCGAAATCGACCGATCTCATACTCGCTCGCTTACCTACGACCAACAAATCACGGTAGTGTCAGTCTTGACTTTGGCATTACCGACGGATAGATATGAATATAAATGAACGTAAACTAAATTAACATACGACACTACTATATGCGGTACAACTTCAGACTTCGTTTTAAACCGGCTTAAAGTCAAACAGAACAAATTCACAAAACATTGCATAAACTTCCTTACAATTCTACCATCGCTTAATACTTACAACCAGCATAACATTGACATATATAAAAGAATTGCTCATAGACAGCTTTAAATTATTTAAACATGCAAGAAAAGATCTTTTATTACTAACCTGTAAAAAATTGCTATTGATCATCTAAATACAAATTCTTCTTCATGTGCCATATCAGGTCACTTCGATGTTGGTGAACACTCGGCGTAGGTTAGTCGAAATTTGATTGCGCGAAAAGTGATGCCTTCGAAAAGTTGGTACAGAAATGGTTCCCCATTGCCTTCTTTGAGTAAGCGGTGTTACGTGAAGGGAAAATGCTTTCTAGAAAGTATTTTAAGAGTAACGGGCTCTTATTCAGACGTTACAGATGGGAAAATATCCTGCTATTGCCAACATTAGAACATAGTTTCGGCCGAACCAGGCCGATCTACTAAATATTATACAATTGGAATTGTCTAAAAGAAAAACACAAACGTGAGAAAACCTAAACAAATCTTACAGATAGTGTCAGCAGTTTGAATCATGTTCGACTTTGTATATTGATTGTTTTATTTTTGTTTTATTGTCATTATTTTTCTTGTATGTTTGTTACAGTGTATTTATATTTTGCTCAAATACTTCTAATACGCTTATGGCCGCAGTATCATAAATAAATAAATAAATAAATAAATAATAATAATTAAAAAAAATAGAAGTGAAAAGATAATTTTGAATATATTCCTAATTTCGGCTGCGTAAAAACCCAAAAATTGTAGTGTTTCCCATTCGTGTAAACTCACACGCTCCTATTGAGTATTATTAAACCGTGCTTTTACTCTTACTGCTTATTGTGCAGATAGAGTAAAATAATAATAATTCAAAAATAAGTTAAACAAGAAACGGAAATAGCATTACTCTATTTGTTTCCTCACATGCGTTTCTCCCATACAGAAAACATTATATATATATATATATATATCGTTTTATGTTTTCAATTATTTTTAGGTTCAGGCATCTGTGCAATTATGCATGCTTAATACTATCAAAACATAACAATCAAAATTTATATTATTTCGGTGCATTGTTGTTTTCTGTTTTATTAAAATTTTTACTTGAAATTAAGAAACTGAATTTGATAATTAAATCAAAATAATTAAAATCACAAAGGTAAGTGAAATCTTTCATTTATCTTCATGATACATTTTGAGTTTACCAAACTCTTTTATTAAAACTTCATAAAATAACAAACTATCAATTTCAATCTTATATCGAGGATTGAATACATATTATAAACATTTTTGGACAGTTTTGTCTTCAATTTTATTAGAAATAATTCTCTATCGGACGAACTTTTACAGAACATAATATTATAATATATAACAATAATTTATACTATTGTAAATAATTTTAATTTATCTTTTTCACGAATTATTTATTATTAATCAACGACTTATTTTAAAAGAATCAACAGCATCAATGCCCGACATGCGACCATAAGTTTCTTAGTGAACATGAATTGAAAAGACACATGCAAACTCATAGAGGCGAAAGGCCGTTTCGTTGCAATTTGTGCGGAAAAATCTTTCCATTGAAGTATCGTTTGAGAGAGCATATGAAAGTGCACTCGGAAGAAAGACCATTCAAGTGCAATTACAATAGCTGTGAAGAAAGCTTTAAACGAAAATGCAACTTGGAACAACACATGTACACAGCGCATTCCGATGAGATTTTATCTAAAGTAAATATTACTACGAGTTCCTATGTTTTCATTTTCGTTCTTATTTTTTTAATTATTAAAGCGATAAAAGTTATAAAATAAACAGACACAATATAGTTGTGCAGAATAATATAAAAGATTCAATTAATATTTCAAACGATACTCGATACAACTGTGTTAATTTACACAAACAAATATTAAAATAATAATATCAATAAACAACTGTAAATACTGTATCATTATTGTTTTTTTTTTTTGGTGCTAAAAAATTTTTCTTGTTTTCTACTGGTTTTGACGTTCGTTCAAAAATTTTAAATTGATTACGTTTCTTTGTATGTTTTGTGCAAATCCATTCTCTGTATTCAACTTTTGCCAATTCAAACACACTCATAAACATAAAATGTACTTCCAAAATAGTTTTTCTAATGTGCGTAATTGCTAATGATAATAATAAGATTTTAAGCAAATTACTCTGCAACCAAACGAGGAGTTGCAGAGTAATTTGCTTAGATGTGTTTTTATAAAATAATTTGTCATACAACATAGTTTAATAAAACTTGAACAAAACCCTACACTTTTAATCACATCATCATCACAATAAAATAAATTGTGGAAATCATAGTTTCGAAACTTTCTCATAAATAATTGACATGAAGTATTTGCATTTAAAAATTACCTTTTATGTTTTTATATATTGTTAACAATTAAATCAAAATTTATTGAATAATTAGATTTCACAAAACGACCCGAAGATAATGAGACGTAAATGTAACTTCTGCTTAAAAGTTTGTCAGTCTCCTTCTACTTTAAAACTTCACTTAAGAACTCACACCAGAGAACGGCCATTTACGTGTAATTTTTGCAACGGCACTTTCAATTACAAAAGTAATTTAAACAGACACATCAGAAAGTTCCATCCGAAAGAGAAAACTCCATCTTGTTCCGAAGTAAGTGTATAAATATATTAATAACTAAACTTTTAACACACAATCAATTAGGCTAAAAAGTTTATAATAATAACTTCAGTTATTTAACGAGCACACAACGTTTCTATATTTATTCACAGCATATATTTTAAACCCTCGCATTTGTTCAATTCGTTTCTCCGAGTAAATAAGTTATATCGTAATTAACAAAGTAATATCTATATTAAAAATGTACAACGATTTTGAATTCTTCGTCTAAAATCAGCGATTAATACGCGCAAATTGAGAATTATTTTCTAAGAAGTTCGGGTCATTCGATATACAGCAGGTATCATAACGTTTCTGTGACATTTCATGTGTTTCAAGTTAGATATGTCGACCCTCCTATAACACTGTTGATCATTCCGTTTTATATGAATTCCATGTTGTACGAGTCACTTAGATTTTACAAATACGTGAGCCTTTCACAGCCTGGCACACGTATTTGTAAAATCTAACTGACTCGTACAACATGGAATTCATATAAAACGGAATGATCAACAGTGTTATAGGGTTTATTGTTCTTCTAGCACCATTTTTTACCTAGTGGTAAAAAATTCGAACTAAATATTTACTTCCATTTTTCCTATTTTCCGTGGTACATATAATATATACACCAAATTTCGTCAAAATACATTTAGGTAAACGGGTTCTAGACATGTCTAAGTAGTGCAACTTTAATTATAAACACCGTGTATTTTTGAATATTTTTTGCATCTAAACGATGTGTTTCTTTTACTTCTTTATATCCAAATCCGTTTAAATATATGATGTTAATTGTATTTGTTATTTAAGGGTACTAAAAATAATTAATTTTTATAATTTTAATCATGTGAAAGCATAATGGGGATGAAAGACGATCTATTTTATACATAGTGTGGAATAAAAGTGAACCATATAAATGCGAGTTTTATGATCCGAATCTTTGACCAAAGACAATTATACATTCTTAATATAAAAGTTTTGTTCATTTCACTGAGTTAAAGATCACTTTTAATTAACATGTAAATTACCTAGTCATGTTTAAAAATAGTCAAATTGAAAATTCACAAGCTTTCACAATCAATGAGTTACTTTGGCGGCAGCCTTAAAAAGACTTGACCTTCAAGGTCATTTGAAGGTCAAGTCTTTTTAAATGAGAATACATAGTTTTGACCTTGACAAATAGAATGAGCGGAAAATTTCACAATTAGTTACACCCTTGACCTTAAGGTCTAGGTCAAAAATCAAGATTATTTTAAGGTTATAAGCTTTTCCTAATACGAAACCATACATTTTCTTAATAGAATATGAAATAAAAGGTTTGTAAACTTTAAAACTTTTCACAATCTCATTACTTTGATTTTTAAAAGCATTTGCTATTTTTAGTATTCCCCAAGAGTAAGAATGTGAACATAGCAGTTTTCTGCTTTCTTTGAAGTGCTTGTTTTTGCTGAGTCACTTTACTTTACACCATTTCTTGAGCTATTGTTTTCAGATATAAATTTAATAACAAATGTTTAAAATAATGCCCTTTTACTTTGATGCATTTGTTGAGCCGCTCTTCTTCACACTTGAGATGACCTTGAGGTGAAATTATCAGTTTACAGAGTAATGGCTAAGTGTGAAATTTCCTGCTCTTTCCATTGCTGGGGTCAGAAGTATATATTCACGTTGAAAAAAACACTTGACCTTTAAATTGCCAAGGTCATATCAGAGGTCACCAATTGATTGCCCCTTCATAACACTATAACTTTCGTCTAAACCTTTAACTGAAATAATGAAATCTAATTAAGTTTTTTCATTGCCTCAAGATAAAAATCTCACGTTTTATATAAAGCCACAGCAAACATTATTCTAATATATTAATAAAAACAGATAAAAATAGATGACGTTTACACTTTCATGGCTTTTTTTTACTGCATGCGNTCCGTATTTAATCAGCAAATTTTTTTTTTTTTTTTTTTTTTTAAATTCATTAAATCGTTTTAATATCCATACAACAAAATTACATTACTTGATTCATTTTAGTATAATTTGTTTAGCTTCATAACGCACTTTCTCACAACCAAAAAAAAAAAATTCATATTTATGTAATTTGTGAAGTATATTTTGGAAATTATATAAAAAATGCTTTACTTATACAATATAAAAAATATATTTGTATTTAAGCATAAGAATTTTAAGGAAATTAAAAATCAATAGAAAATTTTAATTTTGTCACAAGAATATTTTTTTTACAGCAATGGCAAGAAAGACAGAACGAAGAAGTGCAAGCCGCCAACACACTGCTATTACTAAGAGAAGGAGGATTGAGGAGAAGAACATCGGAAATGTTTGAGCCTGACAAACTGCCCTTTCATTCAGATAAACCTTCCTCCAAGTAATAATTGATAAATAAATGAAGTAAAGACGTACTAATCAGAAGATTCACCGAAAAATTTCAAACTGCATTTTTTTAACCAAATTTTCGAAATAATTTATATCACTTGAGCTTAAGATAAATGTTTAAATTATTAAAAACTTCCGATGAGATTTTAATCAATAAACAGCATTTATTAAATCAAATATCAATTTATTATTTAATGGAAATTTATTGGACTTCTAACATTTATTAAAAGTATACAATAATTTCTCACATAATATGTGAAGTGAATATCCACAGTTTTATGAAAGAATGTATATTGTTTTCCATCCTTATATAATTTCGTTGCGATATCAAACAGGCTTTCTATTGTATTAAGATCAGGAGAA